CCAGTTTGATAGACGCTAGAACATTCACGTGTTTACTTGAGCTGCCATTTCTGCTGCCTATGAGTCTGAGACAAGCTCAAAATAGAATGTACTGCCATGTGCGACACGGAAAGTATCCCCCATGCCCATTATGGTCCAGACTTTGCCCAGCCGTGACTGCGGCGCGCCGGCTTCATACTTGTCAACAGACAGTATTTCAGGCAGTGCCGTTATCACAAGATATCTTCGCAGCCTGTGGGCTCATCGGTCAATGACTGCAGCTGCAGCTGAGCCCATCCCATCACCAGAAGTACTTGGCGGCTGCCTGAATTCTCATGGTGTACAATGGGCTTCTTCTCAAGTATAAAAAAGAGCGCTGTATTCGCTCAATACAATCTTGGGTACCCTCAGCAACTTCTTCTTACTTTCCTCATTACCCCCCCTGACTACAACATGTCGGAGAGAATTGCCGCTCAGCTCATCAAGGTGATCACCTCCCACCAAGACATAAGTCCACTAACGTGTCTAGTTAAGACATTTAGCTAAGTCATAATATATCCTAGAGCTGTATTAGACAGGATTTACGCTGATGAGCTGGCTTGTTTTCAGCCAGTATATGACATGCGTATCTACGCTCGACTGTGCGCTAGGCTCCGATTCCTACGCCCTACAGAGCTGTGGTTATGCAGTACTTGACACTCATCCGCTGCTTTTCCCTCAACCAGCAACAAGTATAGAAGCGCATCAAAAGTTTAAAGGATCTATTCAACCCTAAGAAGCTCTCGTAAGGACGCAGAGAATAACTTCTACGTTTCTATAACTCCCTTTAGGTCTTTTCTTAACTGAGCTGTGATATCGGGTATCGATATTCGGTGGTGAGAATGCCGAATCCAAGCAACATTGACTATAACCTGCTCCCAAACAACGCTATATTTCAAGTACTCATTAAGCGTGCGACTGAGCTGGATCGAACTGCTTTCAATGACTCGAATTACCAGGTTGCCACGGGCCCTTAAGCTAGCTAGTTAATTAAATAGAACTAGATACGGATAGTTAGTAGGGAAAGGTAGTTATAAAACAATTAGTAAGAACACAAATAAAGATAAGGAAATAAGGGGAGATAGCTAGAAGTGTATTAAATAATAGCTAGTAAGCCCTATTAGCTAGAAGCCACCGGGCGTAACAAACAATAAATAGGAGTATATGTAATAAATACGGTAGTCTATTGCGTTTGATTACTATTACACTCAATCCTAGTAACCGGCGTGTTAGAATCGACGCTATACACGTACAATAAGAAACACTTATATAGAGCAGCATTTAGCCCCCTACTAATAATCTATTCACTAATTCTATCTAACCTCTATATAGTAATAGACTAAATAGAGCCGCAATCTTGTTGACTAGTTTAGTCTAGAACAGAGGACTCATCAGCAACTGATAAGCCACCAGTCAAGACCAACCGTCAGGTGGTTATTCCTAGATGACCTATCATAGGTCTAACAATTACTGCAATTGACTAGCGCTGTCTGTTCCATTCTTCTTTCCTTGCTGATACGTCTCACTCAACGAGGTGTACAAGGCTTTGACTCTGAGAATCTCTTGCCGCCACTTCTCCCTCTCCCCCTCATCCTGCAAGTCGTCCACCAGATCGTTGATAGATCGTGCCTTGAAGAACTTGTTCGTCTTATTGTATAACGGCCTCTCCTTAAGCTGCTCGGCGGTCTCATGGCCCTGCACCCTATAGACCGACTCCAAAATATCAATGTCGTAAGGGATCTTGAAGATATTCTTACTGTCCTCGTAGGTGAAGAGGTAGTAAAACTCGTTAAAGCCAGACCACGTAATGCCGCTCAGGCAAAGACTGCACGGCTCATGGGTGGCAAGGAAGATGGTATCCTTGGGATTAGGTCGCGGTTTTGGAGGCTTGTAGTCGACAGTGAAGAACTTCTGGATGCAGTTGATCTCACCGTGGAGCAAGGGAGACACCTGTTCGTTGTTCGTAGCCACGGTCAATGGGCTAAGAGTCGAGCGGGACAGAATGGCTGCACCGAATACTTTCGAGCCAGAGGCAACTCCTTTCGCGGTAAGAGGGACAATGTCGTTTTCCACGGTATTGAGAAGCGCCGGTATAAGCTGGGCTGCGGTGGTGAGATTGGTGCAACGCATGTTGGGCTGTAGGCTTGAAGTGTGTTTGGTTGGTAATTGATAGTCAAAGTTGAGGAGTTGTCTGCTTGTCTATCCTTCTCAGACAGAGGTGCGATGCCTCTTATATATAAGTGTTGATCTAGGGATCTAATAATCGGGATGGTTGTTGTATAGCCCCGAAGCAAGTCATCCGCATAATAATGCGTGGAGTTGAACGCCTGTTTTGAAGGGTACTCGTACGACAGCCCACATCAGGTGTTTATATAATACTATCAGAAATACCATATACGGTGGCACTGTTTTAGAGATAAAAATAGTGATATATTCTTTTTTCCTTCTTATTTAACTTAAAGAATTAAAGTCTTATTATCTTTACTTCCCAAACACCTAAGTTTATCTAGGTAGTTAACTAGCATTTATATTTTATAGTTATTAAGAATCTAACGCTATATATTGAAAGCATCTTATATACGCCTATTATGTTGTAGTCCTCGTAGTTCATTATATAGCCTGACTCTAGTAGGGAGAGACATGAATATATAAGAATTAAAACTAGGCAACGCGATATAAGGAGTTTACCCAGCTACATATAGTCTGTCGAAAGTGAAACCTCTTAGTTTAGCTTAGTTAACTAGCTAGTAGAGCCGTGGCAGGCGCTAAGGGTCCGTCAAATTTTGTTATTACAGCTGGGCGTTGTTGATTGTCGGCCTGTTACGCAGGTTTTGTCGGCTAAAAAGTGGGGGAAATCTGCTCTCAGCTAATCAAGAACGATCTCCCAGCACAAGCAAAGAGCTAATCAAGCTCATGCAAGCACAGGTCACAGCCTCGAACACCACGCTCGCACATAGTAGACGTAGAGAATTCTATAAAAATCGCAAAAATCTAAGCTTTTATTCTTTCTTTTTTTAAAGCATTAGCTAGGGGTTAGTAGCTAAGGTAAGTGGTTAGTAGTTAGGGATAAGGGTTAATAGTTACGGATAGTGGTCTACTAGTACTTTGATGGCCCTAATTTTCGGCCGACAAAACCTGTACATCAGGCTGACAATCACGCAATTAACGCGACCCATTACAGCTTCCAAGCGCCGACCCGACCCGCTAGACTACACGGCCCCACGTGGGGCGCCCAGGACTTAGCCGAAGAGTGTTGATGACTGATCACCCCGACTGAATCTAGAATACCCTATATTATATATAATATCGAAAAACAAGACCAAAAGTCCCGAAATAGATCAGGCGTTATATGATAGCCCGTAATATAAGGCATTTGCTATATGAAATCAGATACGTGTTATTCGTCATTATTAATCCTAATAGAAAATGCCGCGGACTATATAACTGTACTTTGCCAAGCATGGGATGACCACACGATGAATGCACACGACAGCCCGGATGCAGAAACTCTAGAATCTGATACCAAATCAATTTTAAAGCACCTATAGGCGGGCCTAAAAGTCGCCGTTACTCGCCGGCTTGGCGTGCATGTCGGCCCTTCGGCGATGGAGGCACGCAAGCTGGTGGACCAAGTGGTTCGGCCAGCGGATGCCGCTAGGCGAAGAGCGCGAGGATGCTGCCTGGCCATTGCTGCTGGGAGATGATGCATCAAACTTGGAAGATGAGACATGGTCAGTACAACTCGGACAGGACTCTCAGTAACCTACTGACATGGCCTACACTGTAGTAGTTGGGGTTTTGAGTCCTCGTCTTAGTCTTCAACTTGCGGACTATCAGATCGAACCTTGGCTCAGAGGTAAACCTGGCCAAGCCTCTTATGGGTGTGCTGGGCTTTCACATGGCCTGGAAATGCTCCCTGAGAGTAGTGCTCTACAAATCCGGGCCGCCATAGCGACAGGTCCTGCAAATTGCGCGTTTGTTCGTATGCCTGTACTTGTCACCAACCTCATGACCCCAATGCCTAGATCGTCGTCTAACGACCGCCATATGACGTCCGCCCGCGTCGTGGTCCAACTTAACGTCTGGTACATGAGATGATTATGGCTGACTGCTTCCGAATTTTTTTTTCTTTTAGCTGAACGATAGCTCCCATGATATAATAAATCTTTTCTGAATTTGCTTGTTTCTCACACGAATACCAAATTTCCATTTTCCTATGCGAGTTTGTGTTATATTGTTCTCAAACAACATGAGTACTCACGTTCACCTTCTAGCTTAGATATACTCTTTCGACATAACAGTCATTTCCCTACACTTTGAAATGTTCCAAAAAGGTTGTTCGACTTCCATGCGGGCAGTAGCATTCACTGTCTTTTCGTCTTCCTTATACTCGTGCGAGAACCAAAACTCAAGGACCGAGATGTTAGGTTATAAGGGCTCATCTTCAAAAACAATCCACCCGGGGCCATGTACGGCACTTGATTCACGCATTCTACCCAGTCGGTGTCGCTGCCGTAAAGCTGGCAGTGGGCGTCGAACGACCGGGCGCCGGGCATATAGTCGTGATTTCCATTGACAAATAGGTCGATAATGCAGCCGCCATGACCGCAGACTTGCTTTAGTCGCTGAGCGCTGAAGATGCCGAGGCCACTGGATGTGTCTGCCTTTGACTCGGAGCTCTGCGCGAGAGAGGTGGTAGGCGCGAGCGCCACAAGAGCGACAAGAATATTAGAAAACATAATGAAGTTGATTGAAAAAAATTGAATTCAAGGTCTTCTTGGTGTGTAAAGAAGTATGCCATGAAAACTTGGGCGCATAGATGCATTTATGCAGCCCATTACCACTCTAGACGAGGCTTCGTGTAGCCGAGTTCAAGTAAAATACCCCTATAAACAAAGGACTTGCAGACAACCGATATTCAACACATGCAGTCAGGCTATAGCACCCCGTTGCGCAATATACGTTTGTTCAGGCCTCTCGCGAGAGCTACAGCAAGTCCCCGAGTCCCATGTGCTTTTGGTTCACATTAATTGGGGACTCGCCGATGGCTTAAACGCCGATGGCTTAAACCGGGAGCACGAAATAGTAAACAGCAACACTTTTGTAAAAGCTATATTTAATTCGTTTAAGCACTTATCTCATAGGAATCAGTAGCTGCGTGAAATTGCAATGTATGGATTTGCTGATATGTTTAAGAGTCCTAGTCGGTTAAAACGACTGAGACTTGATGATTCAGTCCATCAACGCCCGGTTAGATTCCGAGTTTACATGTAGCATAGCATCTGAGGAGTGCACCTACATTCTCGCTTCTTAGACCGTGGGTGAGATTGTCTGTTTCAAAAGTCACAAAGTCTTCTTTGCTTAATCAGGGAGACTCCAGCGAATCAAGCACGAAACAGGCCGCTGCGACTTCTAGAATGTATCAGTTGCAAGAATATGCAATGCAGTACTGTTTTAATTAGTAGCCTTTTTATCGCTTGCCTATATAAACTACTTATTCAACAGAATGTAAATTTTTGGTTGGCCTTTCCCTTCTAACTAAGTAGAGTACAACATGTATATAAGTCGCAGAAGACCTTTTCTAATCATAATCGATTGGTAGCAGCATGTTATTGGAAATGATAGCATTATCCCAGATCTAGCTCCAGCTCACTCATGTCTGACAAAGACATAGTCTCTGCGACTGATGCCTATCAATGGTTCTCTCCCATGCAAATCTCATGGTTTCCCAAACTCAACAATATGTCGTTCAAGGAGCGTGGACCGACTTGATCACAATACCTTCGTAAGTGTAGCCGCCATCCACAAACTCCTTGCTCTGGTACAGAGGATCATTGGTGTTGACAATGACACCCATCTGGCCTCCAGCGGTGCCGCATCCATTAATGGCCTCGGATTGGTCGGTATCGCCGGCTTTGACAGCAGCGTCGATGGTGTTCGCAATGTCTTCGAAGGTGACGGCGGCAGAATCGTCCCCAACCAGCTTAGCGGGGGCCCAAGTCTTGCCCTTGCTAGACACCTGCCACTCAGCGCAGTTGTCGGCATCAGCCTCATTCATCTTCCAGAAGGGCGAGCGGCCCGCCTTGATGGCTTGTGCCTGGTACCTGCGGAGGTAGCGAGCAATGAAAGCTACCTCCTTCATGTTGAGGTTCTGTGGAGTAGCGCCATTCTCGTCATAGCAAATGCGCTTGGCCGGCTCGGGGCTCAGACAAATGGCGCTAGCGCAGCCAGCAATAGCAGTGAGGCTGTAAATAATTTGTGAAACGTACATGATAATTGGGAAGTGGACTGAGGTAGGATAAGGACTGAATCATCAGGGTGACCAAGCTCACATTCGAGGGCTACATATAGTTTCTCATACGGAGATTGAAGCACCCTGTTGTAGATTCCATGCCACTACCCAACTCAAGTGTTGTAAAATAGCGATCCGCAGCCAGTGTAATACTACTAATGTAAGCGATTCTACTACTTCTCAGTCTTCGCAGAGATGCTAACACCCCTACTCTTCTACCCTTGTCAAGCGGGCTGTCAACACGGAAGGGTCGAAGGAATAGTCCACCGAGACCGCAAGAATGAAAAGTAAAATGGAGAAACTAGCAGCATTCGTTGCAGATTTACTGTCTTTAGTCGACGTCGCCTTAGGCGTGGCCGTCGTCGCGGTTGCGGCATGCTCATTGACCTTCTTGGCCTCCTTGAGCATGCCCTCGCACTTAGGTTCAACAATCGCCTTTTGCACCTCGGCAGCGCCGCCAAAGTCACATGCAAAGGCGCCGCTGTTTTGTTTCTTGTAGTATCCGTCCATGACAAAGGCCAGCTTGGCCGACGCCTCGCACATGCTGTACGCGCCGTACACGCCGCTGGTGGTGTTGCCGCTAATGCCCGCACACAGCCCCCTGTTCGCGTTACCGCATACAAAGCCAAAAATGCGCGCAAATTGCTTCTTATCCAGGTTCGCCTTAGGGACGCAAGTGAGCGAGCTGACCATACAGTCGCATAGGGCCTTGTCGGGCGTTGTTGGCAGTGCTTTATTCGCCTGCCAGTTCTGGCTGATGACTGGGCATTCGCTCAGTTGCAGTTCGGCTGTCGAGTCGGACCCCTTGGGGTCAATCTTGGCCAATTGTTTCTTGAGAACTTCAAAATTTTTCATCTTGACCGCCTCGCCATTTTCCACTCTCACTAGGCCTACAGTGTAGATAAGTGTTTGTCAGTTGTGTGCGAAACCAGTGTAAGAGCAGATGAACACACCAAAGTCATTTGCCTCTTGAAAGTACATGTAGACGATGCCACCACTGAACACCGAGGCCATTTCCCTAGAGTACAGGGCCTCAGTGTCTGTAAAGATGCGGGCCTCAGCGCCTCCGCCATCATTACAGCCATACTCAGCGAAGAAGACTGGTATAGAATAGTTGCTAAAGAACTCGGCCTGTTTGTCATAACCGGATACTTGCATGGTGCTATCGCCACACCACGAGTAGATGTTGTATCCCCAGAAATCGGCAGAGTCATCTTGGCTATCGCAATTGAAGTAGTTTGAAAGCTCTGTGCGGATATCGGTGTCGTCGTTTGTAGCGTAGCCGACCCCGAGCCAACGCGAATTGTGCTTTTCTTTGATGTATTTTTTAGAATCGCGAATGGCGGCCTTGACATAGGCAGACGCGCCTGTATTATTTTTGGCATTGGTCACTTCATTGCCCGCAAAGTAGCCGATGACGTTAGAGTATGGAGACAGGGAATCAATGACTTTTTGATATCGCCCAAAGAGCTCCGTGTTCCACTGGGGCTCCTCTCTGTTGATTGACAGAGCCGGCTCACCGAGATCTGCGATCACATAGATGCCTGCCTCTTGTAGAAGGTTCATGCAAAAACTGTGATCTGCTTCGGGGTCAATGGCATAAGTGCGAATCGTGTTCGTGCCCAGTTCCTTGAGCAGGGGAACGTCGCGCTCGCAGCTCTTCTTGTCAGCAAGAGGGTCTAGGTACGTCGTCGGCGCGCTAGAGATGCTGCCAGCACCGCCAGCGCCGATATCCTGCTGGTAAGCCACTCCTTTTATGAAAAACTGTGTGCCATCAGGGAGGAGAAACTTGGAGCCCTGCGGTTGTTAATGCCAGTTCTTGCCGTTGGGTTTCTGGGAGTACCTTTGCTTTGATAGAGGGCAGGTCAGCTGCGGCAACGCTGGCAAAGCCAACGAGGAAGGTTCGCAGATAGATTAGCTTCATTTTCCCACGTTCGGTAGATACGAGTTTTCTAAACCAATGTTCTTTCCAAATTCAGTGATTTCTCTAGCTTCAGAGATTTTTCACGTTTGGAATATATCTAAGATTTTCTTATAGCTCGGTGTATTGAGATTTATTGTAGACTGGGTGTGAGGGCTGCCGCATTCCCCCACCGTCATTGATAAGCCAAATTGAAACCGGAAAGTGTCCGCAGTAGACCCAAGAAACGCAATTTTACCTTGCATGCTCTGATCCAACGCGGGGCTAGGCAGCAATATCCTTTCTTATATGTCGTGGTGCTGATCCACTACGATATTGTCGCGCTGACGTTCTTGGCACCCTGGCAGGCTATTACGTAGTAATTATTGAATGAACACACCGTACGGCCATCGATATTTGGGTCCAATTAGGCCATGATTCCGATTGAGTCCCAGGCAATTTGCCTACATGTGCCCGCACCACTTTGCCAGTGGGTGCTGTACATGGCGGCAACCATCACGCTGCAACGACCACCATACAAATACCACCAAAAAGGTTAGATTTTTATATCTACTATAACACTTTAAATACTTAAAGATAAATTCTAAATAAGTTTAGTACTTTAAGCTATACTTTAATTACTAAGGTTTATATAAGATAGAATCTATTGATAATTTAGATGTTTAATAAAGTTAAAAAATAGTTTTTTTAAGTTTTTTCTTCTTTTTTTTTAGTTTATTAATTTAAGAAAATAAAATCTTAAGCTAACTCTTATAAACTATATACTAGAAATTATTAAAGATCTACTTTAATAAATCTATTTTGGCGTACCGTAACAGGGAACTTGAAGGAACTATCTGTGGGACAATATTCATTTGAGGAACCAGAGACTAGCATGAGAGCGTCAAGGAAATCTTCCTGTTTGGTTTATTAATTAGTCATGGTGGATACTACCAACTATAGTATATATCTGCGTTAAAAAGAAAGTAAGTCCAAGTCATCTCCAAGGAATCCAGTCGGCCCTCGCATGCGAATCACGCAGCACGTTCACCATAAGAAGCTCTATTTGCAGTCGCCCTTGCCCGCCTTACCCAAAGTCTTGTTCAGCCAGGCATGGACCGCCCTCGAAAGCTCCTGCCCAGCGCCAGTCTGACAATGGAAGCCAGCAGCACCTTTAAAGGTATGCAGAGTAGCCCAGTCACCGAGCGCGTCCGCCACCTTCTTCGGCTGCCCAACATAGCTGCTCTCTAGCTCGGCATCGCCGACGAACACGGGCATCTTGATCTTGCTAATAAAGGACGCGACGTTGTACTGCTTGATCTTGGTGAAGAAGTCAGAGGGCGAGTGCGTGTGGATCGCCCACAGGCTGTGGTCGATGCCCCAGGCGGCGCCGGTGGGGAGCTCTCCGGCCTCCCGGGCCGAGAGAAGCGCGTCATCAAACTGCGAGTAGTTTCCCGCCTCGTAGATGGAGAGCATTTCGGGCGATAGCTCCCGGATGTACGCCTCGTAGTTATCCCAGACGCCGTCGATGAGGACAGTGGCCGCCAGGCGGGGCTCAAAGGCCGCGACGCGGGCAGCCAGGTAGGCACCAAGGGAGTTACCCACGAGGACCATGCGGTTCTCATCGACGACGTCCTTCTTCTCCGAGAGAAGGTAGTCTACGACGGGAATGCCGACCTTTTCCCAGTTAGGAATGAAGCCAAGGTCCTGGTTGCGGCGCACAGTTGGCTGGCCTGGCCCTTCGTAGGTGATGCAGTTCCATCCCCGGGCCAGCGCGGGCGCGACAAAGTTCTGGTACGAGTCCTCCTGCGCGGCGTCGAAACCGTTGCCGATAATCATGGTCGGCAGCTTGTCGTCCTTGCTGTCGGAAGCAGCGTACCAGATGGCCTCGACGGTAAAGTTGTCCTGGGTGGCCGGGATGCGGATGCGCTTGCCGGGGATAGGCAAGGCAGCCAACCCCTTGTCAAACGCCTCCATTTGCTCAGCCCATATGCTGTTGATGCGCGGATCACTCCAGTTGCCGTGGAGGTAGGCGTCAGCCCTGCGGAAGTACGACGCCGCAGAAAGCCACGTGTCCCTGACATTGATAGGGTCCGCGGCATTATCTGGATCTTGAGCCTGAGCCCTGGTGTCGGTTGCGAGCTTATAAAAGACGTCGACGAAGGACGTCATGTTTCCGGCTTCAATCTCTTTGGCAGCGCCGAGAATAGGCCCGACGTCGCCTCCTCCGGTGATAGACTCGCCGAGGGCAGTGAGCAAGTCAAAGTTAAATGTCGAGTCATTGCTCAACAGCAACATGGTACTGTTGGAGGTGTCAAAGGCCGCCGACGCTAATCTGGGCTGCAGCAGAGCTGTGAAGATGGCGCCGGTGTAAGTGGAGGAATGTAGCTTCATGGCGAAATATGAAAGAAGAAGTGGGAAAAAAATTTGAGTGACATGTAGAGTCGTTTGTCGCCTTTGACATGAACTGTTGCTTCTGAATAGCTTTTATCTTTCTTTTTTTGCTTCCGTCTCTTCGCCTTATATACTTGAGTCTTCCTCTTGCATGTACACAGGTAGTCGCTACCTTGAGGCGAGGTCCTGCGTAAGCGAGGCGCGTCTCGGACTAAACCGCATCAAGTATGCGTTTTGCGAGGGCGTCTTTCCATTGGTCATTGGCTTATTAGCACAGTAGCGTACTCGGCAGCCTTGTTGGGCCGTAACTATGACGAAACCACCGCTTACCATGGCCCCCCATCCACAGCAAAGCTTACATATTTTAACACACCCGCCCATCGCAAACTGATTCCTCTTTTCAGCATCGTCGCTGTCGCTGTCGCTGCCGCAGGGGACAATGTCGTAATGGTCAACCGCGGACGCTCCGAAGGCTGCATGACGTGTAAGCAGCGCCGCGTCAAGTGCGACGAGGCGAAGCCCAAGTGCCGATCTTGTCTGCGCCTCGGGTTTCGCTGTCGAGGCTACAAGCCCAAGTTTACCCAATTCAAGTTCAAAGACCAGAACCACAAATTTTACACAAAATCTAATCACAATGTTAATTTCCGTGGCGGCTGCGATGTCGTTGGGGCTGCACCTAGTTTGCGCGCATCGGCCGAGTCCAACACTCAGGATCGCGAGGCTGTGAACGCATTATCTCTGCAGCGGCTCTCGGAGCCAGAGAGCGCTGTGCCATTCTTTCTCGGCCACTACGCCAGCATGGGCCGCGACATGGGATCGACGCGCGGCTTCTTCGAGATGCTCGTCCCCGCCTACGCTTCGCAGCGGCAAGAGTCGGCGCTCTCGCTGGCGGTGTCGGCGTTGGCGTCAGAGATCTTGTTCGTGTGGCGGCAAGACGCGAGCAGCTTCCGCTCACCGCGAAAGTCTTATTCTCGGGCCATTGCACGCCTCTTGACCGCAATACAGGATCCCATAGAGCGCAGTAGGCCGGCAACTGTACTGGCCGTGCTGGCACTGCAGACCTACGAGAATGCGTCCGCGATATACCATCTTCGTCGGGCGTCGAGCACTCACCACAACGGCGCCGCGTCTTTGCTCTTGTCTATAGACGCGGATGGCATGGACAGCACGGCACGCGCCTACCTACAAAAGTTTATGCTACATACCGAAGTTTCGACCGCGATACGGCAGAAACGGCCGCTGAAGAGTATTGCATACTCGTGGATGGGGAGCAAGGATACAAGCGCCGTGCCGGATAACCCTAGCTCGGCGCTTGATGCCATAGGGGCGTTCTTTGCCGAGCTTCAGGCCAGCTACACGCAGTTGATGACGCAGGGTGGTTCTACGACGTCGTTGGACCGTGGTCTGAAAGAATGGAGGGCCGAGGCCGTGAGGCTTGATGCAAAGCTTCAGGCGTGGGCGGAGACCGTACCGGATCACTGGAGGCCACTGAGGCTCATAAGCGGTCGGGATTTCGACTCGTCGATACCTGCCTACCAGTCCGTCTGCGAGGTGTATCCGTCATGCCAGATTGCTAGCGTTTGGAACCTTTGGCACATCCAACGTCTCCTGCTGGCCAAGATGATGCTCGGCTCTCTCAATGCATTCCCAGATCTAAATTGCTTTGGTTTCGCGTACGGGCACTTCCTCGGCGACCCAATAGAACTTTCCACCTGCCAACAAACATTGCAGGAAGTGGTCGACCGCATGTGTTACAGCATACCTTTCCATCTCGGCAACCGAACCACGCGGGTCAGCCTCACAGATTTCACTGACCCGACGATTCTACTGCCCAGCGACTGCTCGCTGGAAGGCGGCACACGACAGGACAGGAGTGGTCTCTTTGCGGGGATATCGAGGGATGACCATAGACGCCATGTCATTGCACAGGGGCCATGGCGCGTCATGCATCCGCTGAGTCGCTTGCTCACGCTCTTCTCGGAAGATGGCGGCGAGGTGATTGCAAGCCTTCTCAGGCCTGGGCAGCGGGACTGGGTCCGCGATCAGTTCATACGTGTTGCCACGTTGCTGCACCTTCCATCGCATTCCAGCCATGACATGGAGAGATCTGAATCGTCGGGATGCTCTGCAGATGCAAAGGCTGAGAACCTGGCCAAGGAGATTAGAAAAGGCGCCATTCTCATGAGTGGTCCATAAGGACGCTAAATAAGCTGTGGTGCCTGGCTCCACCGGTTCACGGAGGCTGCGGTGAGACCAGTCGACTGGTGGTCCTGAAAATGAAGAGTCCCTTGTAGATATATACAAAGCATCTGATGATAAGTGATAGCTGGAGATCCGTCATGATCAACTTTCTCCAGTGATCGGGCCAAGATGATATAGTGTCAAGATAGGATATAACTAATAGGTGTTTCACGGGTTCCTCACCTATCTTCCAACTCGTTTCAGCCATACTGACAAGTCAAATTCACCAGCCTCTAGGTCATTCAGATTTTCTGCGAACAAAAAAACCCGACCATGCTGCTCTTCAGGTTGGTTCCCATCGGTGTGGAAGATCCTACAAGCTTTTGCGTGGTAGTTGCACGTTTCATAATCAGCCAGCCTCCTAGCATGCTCAACACTTTCGACATGGTACGCAGCACCATTAACAATGGCGTTCATTTCTCCATCGACGATAGCAGGATACTGGCCCCAGAGCTTGCACGCATATCCGACTATCTGTGCTGATCGTAATATCGGCTCGTGGTCCAACTGCAAGATCTCCATAAGCATTCTGGGATCCATCAGCGTGCCGTAAAAAAAGTATGGGCCAGTTTGAAGTTTGGAATAATCTATACGCCGGGGCGGGTTTGGCGACATGTAAGACCAGCCCGGTGGCGCGTTTCTTGTTTTCAACACAAGCTTGGACGTCTTCGCATCTGCATTCTGGGCAAGGGAGGGAAGCGGCGGCGGAGGTGGTGGGGTAGGCGTCGGCGCTTGAGTTTGATCCTGACTAGCAGAGTTGTACATGCTGAAGACTTTATTGTGATTGTGTCAAAGGTAAGAGTTGGTGATGAGGGAGAAGGCATTGGCGGAGTCTGGCCCGTCACAGCTGCAGGCTGCATTTGGTGTTACAAGGGGCGCCACGTGCGAGTTATATGATTTTTTAAAAAAATAACCTGCTTTTAATTATGTTAGTAATGGTATATTTTACTGGTTTAATATTTAATATTATAGATATATTCTCATAAAAGCTTAGTTATGTAGTCTAATGTTAGGTCTAATTCGTCATGGCACACTTTTGCCCTGTACTACCCTGATCGGCCGACATCGGCAGCGGGCGGCTAGCATAGGCAACATAAAATTGATTGACCTTTGACCACCAGCGCATCTGCTGCCTTTTGAACGACTCACTCTCGTCCAGAGCCCAATCGCCGCCGCCTGTCAAAACGAGTGCAAAGGTCGGCCAATTCTCAGCCGCAGACAGCTCGGTCAATTTATCGTTGCAAACGAAACAACAGCTGACTCGCGGGCTTTGACAATGTCTGCCTCACTCCCCGGCGATCGTGAGCTGCCGCGCTCGCAGTTTGACCTATCGACATACTTTGGACGAGTCCAGCATGCCATAACATTGACAGACCCAAGGTGCGTTGCCACTGCGAGAGCAGCTGTTGCGGTTGCCACGCACTGCGCGAATGGCCGCCAGCAGCAGACGCCCGACCCCCCCTTTCCACGACTGGCAGCTTGCTAACCTCTCATTTCTCTGCAGCACGCTCTTTGCCGGACATTCGGGCCTCGAAAATGCAAAGCAACTTGTCACGAAATACAAGACGGGCGAGATCAAGGAAATGACCCCTGATCTATGGAAGGCCAAGAAGATTGTCGACTCGACCCTGCATCCTGGTGCGTACAGAAGCGAGCAAACGACGGCTTATAAAAACCGATCATACAGCTAAAAAAAAAACCAAAAAATGTATAGATACGGGCGAGCCAGTGTTTCTGCCTTTCCGAATGTCGTCGTTTGTCCTGTCCAACCTCGTCGTGACTGTTGGCATGCTGCAGCCCGGCCTGGGCACGGTGGGCACCGTCGGCTGGCAGATTGCCAACCAGTCGCTCAACGTGGCCGTCAACAGCTCCAACGCCAACAAGTCGTCGCCCATGACGACGGCGACACTGGCCAAGTCGTACGGCATCGCCGTGACGGCGTCGTGCTCGGTGGCGCTGGGCCTAAACGCGCTGGTGCCGCGGCTGCGCGTGGCGCCGTCGACGAGGAACATTCTCAAGCGCCTGATTCCATTTGCGGCCGTCGCGTCAGCCGGCGCGCTCAACGCCTACATTATGCGCCGCGGCGAGATCGCCACGGGCATCGACGTGCGCCCCGTCATCTCGGAGGCGCAGAAGCAGCAGCTGCAGGCCGAGGGTAAGTCGGAGCGCGACGTGCCGTCGCTGGGCCGCAGCCAAAAGGCGGCCAAGCTGGCCGTGTATGAGACGGCAGCGAGCCGCGTCTTCAACAACAGCCCCATCATGATCATCCCTGCCATGGTACTCTATCACATCCAGGAGAAGCAGGCGTGGTACAAGCGGCTCATGGCCAAGCAGTGGGTGCAGTCGCGACCCAAGGTGGCGATGCTGGTGCCGATCGGCCTCAACTTGGGCCTCATTACGGTGGTGTCGTTTGCGGCGCTGCCGCTGGCGCTGGCCGTGTTCCCGCAGCAGCAGGAGATTAGCGCGGATGACTTGGAGCCCGAGTTTCACGGCAAGGGAGGCGACGGGGGCAAGGTCTGGTTCAATCGTGGTTTGTAGACGATTGAGGGCGTGGCCCGGTCAAAAAAAAGTCAGGGACTAGCGATGTCATGGACCGCGCGGCTTAGACAATAGAAGACGTTGGCTTAGTTTATGTAGATTCCATTTTCGCATTAGAATAGCGACGCAGAGTAGTTGGGAAACATCTTAGAGCTTAATACTACATTTGGACAGAGATGGTACGGTACGACTAAGAGGTGGTTGAGAGATAAGCCACGCCAGCCCATCTAGTATGCAACTGCGATCAACCTAGATAGTAGTCACCCAGGTACGATGATCGAAAGCGTGATGGTGAAAGACGCCCTAATGGTTGCATATTGCTAAAGCGTTTGGGCATCAGGCTTGGCCGAGACGTGGTTCCAATGCAAACGAGAGGGGCGCGAGCCGGGGGAGTTACATCGGCGATGGCAGCTCGGCAGCAAAAGCCATCTCGTTTTTTTTCCCCGTGTGCATCTGATTTGGGTCATGGTTGGGCTTTTGGCGATAACTGGGCCAGCCAGTTGTCCGCTCCCTTAATGGGGGGGTATTTTCCACCTTTTCGGCGAGGAACGGTTGGGCAGGCCGTGGTTGCAGCCAGTGACACGGCAAGCGATGATGAGTGAACGAGGTAGGGCGGGCAAAGAAACAAGCGAGGCGGCCGCGGGGAAATACCGCGGGGTGCTGCTTGTGGCAGCCGGGCGAGCCGGGTCCCGGACTAAACACGCTGGCCATGTGAAACGCAGAGGAATGCCGGGCTATTGCAGTCAGAAGGGTGAGTATTTGCCGGCATTGCGGGGGCTGAGAGAGAGAGAGAGAGAAGAGAAGGGCAAAGGGCACATGAGTTAAAGGTCGCTTTCTGCAGACCGCGTACAGAGGCTAACAGTGGCCTCTGCATTATTAGCAATGGCGGCGATGCCGAGAGGGTGTTCGCCGAAGCAGCATATAACTCGTATAATTCTGACTAGAGTTTGGGTCGAGAACGGGTATGCTGGTCTATAGACGACGGACATAGAAGATGTAGAGTGTTGGGAACAACCGTAGCGCGTGCCATGAGTAATGTATTCATCTATCGATTTGGAGTGCCATCGATGGCTTCTTTGGGCTCTACTTACAGCGAGGCCATCATGCTGAGCATCCAACTCAAAGGCCGGCAGGCATGAGACAAGAGTACACAGAGAGAGAATGAGCAGGTACATATATATACATATATGATAGAAGCTCAATGAATCAGCTGTTATGCATCCTCATCTCGTTAGCGGCGAGTAACAAGTACGGGGGAAAAAGAGCGCAGCCAAGCGTGAGCGGTTGCCGTTCGTCGAGTGGGCATGCTGAATCCCCAGGGTCGTCTTGATGAGGGAGGGTGCCATGCCGGGCAAATCTGCTGCAGCATGCAGATAATACGGGAGGTTATCTCGGCCAAAGCTCATCGCTAATCACTTCTTTTTTCCCCGGACTCACTTGCAGCGCCGAGGGGGGGCATGTTGGCTGGTCCTCGCTTGGATGGCCATTGTTTTTGGTGGAGGGATATACACCTGTGTGACGATGGCTCTGTGTTTTTGCTGGTTTTCTCATGTAATGTGATGGGAAGAGCCAATACATCTTGGTTGAAAAAGGCAGCTCTTTAATCCCAACTCTCCCCATATCCTCGAAACCAAGCTCTATGAATCTGGTCGGGACGGATTTGTGCCGTGCCACTGCGGGGGTTAACCTCGCGTATCGTGATTACTAGGAAGGTTCGAATTGATGCGCATTATGACTCCAGCTACGATAGTGACCGACGACAGGTGCATCGTAAAGTAATGAAGGTGGTATGAAAGATTGTGGCGGGGTAGGCCTATGATGCGTTTAGATGAATATGGCGCTTCAGGGTCCAGGCGGCTGCGAAACGCATCTACTCGAGTACGACTGCTTGCACAGTTGCACAGCAACAATGAGTGCGGCATCACTGACTAGATGGTCTGTGGCCTAGACGTGCACTGTAGTGCTAATGGGATGGCAAAGACAGGTCGCGATGCGGGGAGCGAGCACACAGATGTAGGTCCCTTGCAGCCGTCTTCTAATGATTATGCATTTTGAGTTTTTAGCTGCAGTTCATCTTGGTACATGCATGGGCTTGGAATTATGAACACTGGTTGACGTTGGCACTGGCAACACACTAACAAGGTAAGTGCGATGCTGTTGATTCCCTTGGACAATTGTTTTCCCCTCTTGGCGAGACCAAGTGACGGTTAGGTGAATGTGGCTGCATACAGTGAGTGGCACAGCAAGTGATGAGTGAGAAACGAAAGGGATGGGGCAAGGAAAGAGGTAGCGAAGAGCGAGGCGGGGAAGCGAGGTGAAACAGAGACTGCCAGTGCGTTATGCGTGAACCGGGAGGAGTTGATGCAATCCCATTGGGTGGGAGCCTTGTAAGAATCATGGTAGACGAATGATGAGGTTCGGCGGGCCGTTGCGGGATTGCGTGAACCTATGTGAGTGCAGAGTGACTGTTAAACCGGTTGTGAGATGTTTGACTGATTGTGAGATGTAGACTGTCAAGGGCAAAAAGGGCAGAATGGGAAGAAGAGTAAACGGAAATGAACCATAGCAGAGGGCGCAAAGAGATGATCATGATTTATGGCGTGCTTTGATTCTTGCAGAAAATATTGAGACACGAGGCGTGTTGACAGCGTTGAGCGCCAGGTGTTCTGTCGATTGTGAGTGGGTGCATCCAGAGGTTCCAGGGCGCTGGGTCTGGTCTGGCGACTGCCGGCAACGGAGGGGACAAGACAAGGTCTTGCCGCCTTGTTCGGCCTCGCAGGGCTCACAATAGCGGGCTTGGAACTGGCAAGCCCTTTTTTTATTGATTTTATCTTAGCCAAGCCTCTCAACTTGACTTTTGTTGCGCGTTGAGTCGTGGTGACAGCATAGCAGTGGTAAAAGTAAAATTACGAGATGAAAGCCCAACGGGCAGTGACCCAAGATGGGGCGGCGGTGGTGGTGGTGCAGGAAGCAAAGATTCGGGTCGTTGCTGGATTGGAGGAAAATGGTCAGCTGGTTGTCCCCTGTATAATGCGTGTTTTTGCGGGACGGAAGAGGAATGGGGGAGGAAAGAAAAGGTGAATTGTGATGAACCGATGAGCCGAGTCGTTTGCGTGCAGCACTTTATTCCGTTTATTCGGAAGAGCAGGAAAGGAGCGTTTGCAAGACGGCGACGTTGCAAGATGAAAAATAGACGAGACAAGGCCATGACATTTTTTCATTTGTTTTTTGTATGTTCAGTAAGCAACTACATCAAAGAGCCAAACATCTGTAGCCTCACCTGGCAAGAAGCAAGACAGACAACAAGGCCAATTGTTCACATTGACATTGATTCATGCGTCGATGCTGGACCACCAACGGGCCGCGCCTACATGACGCCTGCAGGCCCCACTCCTCCCGCTGTACAGCACCATGCCGCAGGCGGGTTGGCGGGTTTCGCGGGCGGGCTAGTGTCAGTTTTAGCAGCCAGTTCGGTGAACGGTTAAATGGAGTGAGTTTGCCAGTGCACGTTTCTGTTCGCTTGATCAAATGCCATGCACCATTCAGTTTCACAACGTGGGAGTCGATGTGTGGGTAGCAAGGCACGCCATCATCCGTCGCCTGGCTGCAGATCAAAGGAAAACTGCTTTGAGGCAGCTGGCTGGCTGGCTGGCCATGACATGTATTGAAAGCGAGAAGGCGAGATGACGCCAGCAAGCAGGTTACTTGACTTGGTACTTGACGACAAACGGTCCATTGTTTCTCACCGCATCAGGTGGATATTCACATGATGGCGCAGAATTTTTTTTTTTTAAAAAAAAAATCTTGGTGCTGAAGAAAGCTGAAGCTGGAAAAATATTTTGCCATTCATTTCTGTCTAAAAAAGTTGTGCGCCTGTTTCCGCAACGGTTTGACGGGCTGGCATACGCCACATCGTGTGTCAAGTAGAGAGAGGCAAAGGAGAAAAAACCCACCACCACTCGCTCATTATTGATGCTGTGGTCTTTTATCACAGCTACCACCAGCACAAGCTAACGAAGATTCTTAAAAGATCTAAGATCGATATTAATTTGATTTATAGTCTATAGCAATCTTTTCCAAAAACATATCAGAATATTTTTTAGAAGTGAGCTGCCTTCTCAAAACCGGTCGGTTTTGTTTGGGTACCCCACATGGACCCTTCGCTTGGTACTGCACTTTGGCGTGCGTGCATGCACTCTCTCCAGTGCGCTTACAAGTCCTCCCTGCGGTCGCTGCACCGTCAACGTGCTCACGAGATTCAAGATGCCCCGATTTTGGGGCTCTTTCCTCTTCGAGATGCTTTCTCTTTGCCTTTTCTGTTTTCTTTTCTGGCCATAGGCTTGAAGCGCTGGCCAGTAGGTCGGGTCTCGTCTGTTCATCTAACCCTCTTACCCTCCTCTTTTGGCAGGCCACCCACCCTCCCAGCGCCCCTCGACACATTCATTCCACACAGACTGGCCCTAAAACATGCAGCCATGCCCGCCCCCTCCCCCTCATTCTGTCAAGTGGTTTGTTGATGTCTCGTAGCCGCCTGCTTAAACATCCCTGGGGTAGAATCAATGCTGTCGGCCACTGTAATTTTCCTCTTGCCTTTTTCCTTGATTAAATTGCTATCTGAAAACTTGCTGCAAGCGGATTCGCAAGGTTGATTGATGTTGATGATGCTTTGACAGGTGACGTTTTCGCTTTAGCCACCGTTGCCACTACAACTGCCACTTGTCAGCTGGCGAACCTTTTGGTGAGCAAATGGCCTTGAATTCTGGTCCGCTGCCCACGCTAGCCCGCTAATAAAGATGGCACTGCTACCAATCCAATGATCCAATGTCCAATGATCCAATGACACCCATCCGAGCCAGTAAAATAGACAGCAAATACCTCGTTCATTATTATAATAAAGTGAACACCCAAATAGTTACCAACGTAGGTACCTATGCAGGTAAGTTCTAGCATTTGCCCCGGCCCTGCAGCCACCAGCACAGCACACCACAGTGCACCTGGGCAAACATCCAATCCAGTCCCATCACATCACCGCTAGACTGCCATTGTGCTGCCACCACCAGCCAGCCCATCTCAAGGTCACAATTAGAATTGTAAATACTCGCCTTATTTCACCACCAATGGCTATGCCTCCTCTTTATTCCTGCTACTTGGCACCTCTCGAATGCCTCCCTACGTAGTTCCCAGCAGCATCAGTCTCCCACACCATCCCCAGGCCCGTGCTTGCCCTGTTCCAGTTTCCCAAAAATAATCCCCCCCAGTTCTAACCAGGCATTTTGACTCGGACTCTTCCGGCTTCATCTCCAAAACTTTGTCCTTTCAACGACATTTGGTCCCTCTTGACGACTCTCTGCTCTTCTCGACAAGCACAATTCAACAGCCTACACAAACTTGACTGCAACGGCACCACTAGCGGCATGTCGACGCCTGCGACTGCCGTGGCGGCCACGCTCCCTCACTACCACCATTCGCGCCATTACCACTCACCCTACGCCGCTCATCAACAACAGTATCCGGCTTCGCCAGCCTACCGTTCTGCTGCTCCCGTCGCCACCTCCGGCGCCCTTCTCCCTCCCTCTCCCGCCGTCGCCGGCACCGCTCATCTGCTTCCCGCCTACACCCGCCCGAGTCCGCTGCATCTGCGTCGCCATCACGTCGACGACCCTTCCGCCCCGACTCATGGTCTCCTGGACCACCCGCCGCCTCCCCCTCCCCATGCTTACCTCGATCCGCCCGGCTACACCTCGGCCACCCGCCCCGACGATAGTTTTGCTTCCAACATGTCCAGCGCTACAATGACGGCCACGGCCGAGTCTCGCAAGCGTCGCCGCTCGAAAGAGCCCGACTGGAACAACTTCTACCGCAACGGCCTGCCCAAGGAAATTATAGTCATTGACGACACCCCAGAGCCAGAGGCCAATCAAGGCCGTAAACTCACCCACGGTCATACTACCAGCAGTCACATCATCACTCCCGATGGTTCTATGCTTCGCCACCAGCAACTGCAACAACCGCAACCGACCAAGCGTCGCCGTCGAGACAATCCAAATCCTCCCGTCCACTACCACATACAGCCCGTCAACGGCTCCCACGCAACCCCTCCACATCACAACATAACACCAGGTGCCTCGACCTTGTCCAGCGACGGCCATCGATCCACCGCCCATACCACTGCTGCCACTTCATTATCTTCGAATGGCTACCCCGGTCCCGTTACTGCCCCGCTCAAGAGGAAGCGCACCCGTCAACAGGTCGCAATCGAAGCCAAACGCCGCGACATCGAAGGACTTGGCCATCCTTTTGAAGCCTATGTCCCACCACCATACCCGCCTAAAAAGGCCGGCGACGTATATGTTCGAGTTGTTCACGACGTATGTACACCCTCTGTCAAATTATGGCTGTGCATATAACGCTAACCGTCTGCCAGCCTCAGCCATCCAAGAGTGTCAAGGTTGACGACGACGACGGTCATTACGTCGTCGAACAAGACGCCGACCTTACCGACAAGTGTAAGACGACCCCCCAGACCCGGACTAGTCAATCGATTTAAACCAATACTGAACCAACATCAGATAAAATTAAATGTCTCCTTGGCCAAGGTACTTTCGGCAAGGTCGTCCAGGCCCGCGACCGCCGGCGAAATGAGGCTGTCGCTGTCAAAATCATACGCTCAGTCCAAAAATATCGCGACGCTTCACGCATTGAGCTACGTGTCTTTGCCACACTGAAAGCAAACGACCCCACAAACAGGAACCGCTGTATACATTTACGAGACTGCTTCGACTATCGCGGTCATATATGCATCGTCATGGATCTATTAGGTCAAAGCGTCTTTGATTTCCTCAAAGGCAATCACTTTGTTCCTTTTCCTAACAGCCAGATTCAAAAATTTGCTCGCCAACTTCTTACCAGCGTTGCTTGTACGTACCGTATCTCCCGAGTTAGCGCTCGTCACTAACACCTGCTAGTTCTTCACGACCTCAATTTAATACATACAGATCTCAAACCTGAGAACATTTTACTTTACGACAATTCATATCAAACTTTTACATATCACAGAAAAATTCCCTCCGCCTCAACAACGATTGATCGGCAGGCCACACAAAGGCGGGTGTTGCTCGACACTGAAATTCGACTAATCGACTTTGGTTCTGCCACGTTCGAGGACGAATACCATTCGTCCGTTGTATCTACTCGTCACTATCGTGCCCCCGAAATTATCCTTGGTCTCGGCTGGTCTTTTCCTTGCGATATATGGAGTATAGGGTGCATTCTCGTCGAATTCTTCACAGGTGATGCCCTATTTCAAACCCACGACAACTTGGAACATCTTGCCATGATGGAAGCGGTTATTGGCCAAAGGATAGATGCTCATCTGGTCCAAGCCGTCAACAAAATATCCTCTCGGACAGGTAGCAATCCTGCTTCCAAGTATGTCCCCCTGGACGGTTCCTTTGGACATCAACTAACACTAGCAGGTACTTTAAACGACTCAAACTGGACTATCCAACCCCAGATACCTCGCGAAGCTCAAAGCGTTTTGTTAGAGGCATGAAGAATCTCGATGTATGTCTGCCAACCTGCCGAAGCGGGCGTTGAAACCACCACTGACCATATCAGAACACAATCCCGAAGAATACGACATTCTTTAAAAACTTTCATGATCTCCTGCGGAAGATGTTCGTCTACGATCCTTCACAGCGCATAACAGCCCGCGAAGCACTGAACCACCCGTGGTTCAAAGAAATGGCGCCTCCCGACGACGGAACAGAGGCTGCCAAAATTCGAATGGAAAAGAGGCGCTCGGGCCAAGGCGGCCAAAAGGCTTAGCGGCTTGGGAACTCTTGGATACTTGCATATTTGCTATGACCAATCTTTGAATGATGATGGAGGAGTTTTTTGACCGGCAATTCGACGCCGACTGCATTCGGTAGCGAGCGTTGCTGCTGGCAATTGGCAGCCAGCAGCTGCTACAGTTACTCGGGCGTTCTATGAACCCTACTCCCTGCATTTGCTGCACATACTACTTTCATTTGTGTTATTCAGTCATGTACCACTGGTGGACACCATTTCTCTTTTACACTGATTACTTACGATGACACGACGCTTACTACCGTTTTTTTTTTGTTGAATATTGTGCCTCGACGGCAACGCACTGAAATGTTCCCTGTGTTCTTTTTTTTTTTTTGGACAAGGCGCGACATGGTCTTTCTAACACATGCATATGGACGGTCCTTTGATGTTGAAAAGGTTCGTGTTGGCGCGGCGGAGTTTGATAGGAGGTGGCCGGCAGAAATGTTTCTGTATGAGGAGTTTCCGCACGGCATATACTATTCACTTCTGAATAAATAACAAAGATCTTCATTGCGTATGAGCGCAAAAATCTTTGTACCGTTGTACTGCTACATCTGGCATTTTCTGAGATTTGCCGTTTCGCACGTGTTGTAAGGCTACTCCGTACGACCGCCAACAATGAATGCGAAACCGTTCAAGAAAGACAGTTCCGTTTATGACAACCAACATGGAACTTGTTGTCACAAATTATCAAACAAAATGACGTGTTCTATCTGTATAAGTATTTGCTGCCTCTCAACTCAAATAGATGCTCAACATTCATCATGCTTCATTTACACGCACTAATATATTCCATCCTCTTTGGGGGTAAACCCCGTCCAAGAAGCTCGATGCCACAGAATAATACTATTACTACGACCACGACGCCCGACACCGCCGCGCCCTTTGTGGCCCTCAAGCAGCCCGCCGTCGAGGCCCTCGCGCGCATCCTCTACTTTTCGCGCGCCACCGCCTCGCCGCCCAAGACGGACGCCGCGTGCCAGCGCTGGCTGCGCCGGCAGAAGCGGCAAATTGCCGACCTCGACGAGACGTCGCTGCGGCGCCCGCGTACGCTCTCGCTCCTCGGCGATGTCCTTTTTCGTCGCGGCGGCGCGTTGGCGCGGCGGCGGCGGCCGCCGCAGGAGACGACGCTAGAAGCGGAGGGCGCGGCGGCGCTGTGCCCGAGCCACAAGAGGCTGGACCTGCGCGTGTTGATGGCGCTGATGGCGCTGGTCGCGGAGGAGGTGACGGTTTGGACGGAGAGTGGGAAGGAGAAGAGGTGGTGGGATGAGCGAAATAGGAGAGGAGCAGGGGAAGAAGAGGAAGAAGAAGAAGAGGCGGCGGTGGAGGTCTGGCGGAAGAACATGGCCAAGATTGCGGTGCTGTGGATGGGGAGGAGGCGCTGGGAGGACGAGATAGGCAGGAGCATCGGGGAGCTGGAGGTGCCCCCGTGCGCGAGGTACCGCGGCTGCTGCGCGGCGTGCAAGCTCGCCGTCGTGGGCGGGTCGGCCCAGTTCCTAATGGATCTGCGGACGGGCCTGCTGGCGCGGCGAGAGCTCGCGAGGGGCTTGCAGGACGACGACGAGCCGCCGCTGCTGCGCATGGTAGAGGCGTGGATCGACGTGCGCTACACGCGGCGGCGGCAGCGGTTCATGCGAACCGAGAGCGACATGATGGTGAATCTGCTTGTGCGGATGCAGACGAGCGGCGGCGGGAGCGGCGGGAAAGTGAGCGGTGGTCGCGGCGGTGGCGAACAGAGGACAAAGTATACACAGTTTAGGGGGTGGCCGATGCCGGTGATGCAGGTAAAGGTGGATGAGCTGATACGGAATGCTGCTGATGATGATGATGATGACGATATCGAGGAGAATGAGTATGGACGCGGCGCGGCCACTCAATGGCGGAGGGGGAAGAGGATGCCGGAAAAAGAGGGGCACTTGCAGTACCTGCCCGCGAGCCCCCGCGCCGTTCCGGAGCCATGGACGGCGCGCCGCGGCGGCACCGCGACGCACAATGCGAAGAGAGACAACGCTGACTACCGCCGAGCACCACCTCCTCTTCCTCGTTCTCCTCCTCCTCCTCCCCACGTCGAACCGCCCTGGGTGACCCAAGACTACGACCCCCCCGCGGCGGCAACGTCTCTCGCCGCCGAGCCATGGCACGCCGACTACGACGACTGGTCCATTCGCCGGCAGTCGACGTGGTCTTTCTCGTCGTCCTCGGCCACCCTCTCCGCCATCTACGACGCGTACCACACTGCCCCCAAAAGCACGACGACGGTGGCGACGAGCCTCTGCGCGCCATCGCCCCTTTTCACGCAGCGCGGAGCAGCGGCGGCGGCGGAAGCGCCTCGCTCGGGTGCGGTTTCGCCACCGTCGCCGTCTGTGTACAGCCCGGTACAAAAGAGTAGTCGGAGTGCTGCTGCTGCTGCTGCTGCTGCTGCTGCGGCCACTACGCCGCGCTGGGGAGCATCTGCAAGGTCGACGAGGCCGCCGCTGCCGCTGCATCAACGACGGCTACTGAGCGAGATTACGGTACCGAAACGTGCCAAGACGGCAGCAGCGGCCCTACGGCCCCCGCCGCTGGTGATTGTGCGCGATCCGATGCAGAGTGTGCGTTTGGTTAGTTCGACGTTTTAGCTGGGAGTGCGACGTCCGTCGAAAAGGCGGAGGAGCACACACAATTCACAGTGACAGTTTCTGACGATTTCTCGTATGCTCCAGACTGCAAACAAGTCCGACGTATGGTCGGATTGCGCCCGTCGTTTTCGATAATGGCAAATGGACTCTGCTGGTTATAGTAGAGGTCTCGACTCGTGAAGCGGAAGCGGATGGACTAAGTAAGCATCAGCGGGCTCACCAGAAACAAAAAAGACGTGTTTGTCATGCACAAATGTTAAACGAAAAGCCATAGTGATGTAAAAAAAAAAAAGAAAAAAATGCACGAAGTTCCGCCGTCTATTGGGTATATACCAGAGTAGATTCAAGTCTATGAAACAGATGCAATCAAACATGTTTAGGCATCAGTCGCCGTTTTGGCCAGGACCTGCGCAATCGCAGGGACATAGCACGCCGCCTTTTGAAAGTCGCCTAGCTTGACGCGCATCAGGTCGTGCGCCAGCAGCACCGACTGCTCCTTTTCCTCGCCCCGCGCATCGCCCTCGATGATGGGCTGCAGCGCGTCCGCCTTGCCGTATCGCTGCGAAAAGTGCGTGAGCAGCGTGCGGCGGGCCTGCATCTCGCGGGCCACGCCCAGCGCCTCGCTCATGGTGCTGTGGTTCTTGGCCTTGGCGTGGTCCTGCTTGTCGTCGCCAAACGTGCACTCGTGCACCAGGAGGTGCGCGCCGCGGCACGCCCTCGCAAACTGGCTCGACGGGCGGCAGTCGCCGGACCAGGCGATGCGCAGGCCCGAGACGAGCTCGAACTCCGTGGCATAGGAGCGCCAGCAGTGCGGGACGGGCACGCGGCGGATGCGTCGCAGGCCAAAGGCGTCGGGGGCACCGAGCCCGCCGAGCTGCTCGGCGGTCGTGACATCGCGATGTGGGCCGACGCAGCTCGGGAAGCGCAGCCGGTGGAAGCCAATATCCTCGACCTGCGCAATCTCCTCCAGGACGGCGCGGTACCGGTCGATGCAGCTCACAGCGAGGAGTGCGTCGCTCTTGTCGGCGAGCGCCTGCTCGTACCAAGCTTTAATGGTGCTGGCCATGCCAAGGTGGTGGTCCGCGTGCAGGTGGCTGACGACGATACAGCGCAGGTCGCGGAGGACCGCGGCGGTGCCCTTGGGGCCAAACAAGCGCTTGATCTGGCCGAGCGTGCCTTCGCCGCAGTCGAGCAGGTAACTGCCGATGCCAGGAACGCGAATTAGAGTGCCAGATACGTTGCGGTGCTTGTTGGGCACGCTGGAGCCTGTGCCGAGGGCAGTGATTTCGGCATCGCGGTTGGGGATGTCGGCTTCTTGACGCTCAATGCGTGCGAGAAACGCCGGGTCCGTCACCTTCGCCTTGGCTTTTTGGGCGAGCTCGATTGCCTCCTGGTCAACCGCGTTGTATGCCAACTGAAGATCGGTAAATGATGCGACAGGACCGTCGTCGTGGAGTAGGCGCGGCATGAGCTGGGACCTGTGACCTGTTCTGCCAAGCTCAAGCGATGGGACATTGTCGGGAACTGCGTAGTCGACAGTGTTGTCAAAGGCGACAAACGGGAACCGATCAGGATCGACGCGGCGCAGCTTGGCGAGCGTCTCGGCAGAACTAGAATTGCTAATCATGTTGGGACATGTGTTGGGAGAGCACAGGACATGTTTGATATCCGGATGGGCCTTGATATATTGCTGGATCTTGGGATCTGCCACGATGCCGTCGCCAAGAACCCAATACATTGTTTTGACTTCGGCCATGATTTCAGCGTTTGTCCACTCGGGACGCTCAAAGAATGCGTCCAGAAAGTCGCGGCTGCTAATATCAGCGACAGCGATACCTCTGCCGGGCTGACGCTCTCCGAGTACCATGTCGGGAGTCACGACAGTGCCGCTGTCTGTCGTTACCGTTTCACCGGCTGTCAAGAGCTTGAAGCTTTGCGGCTTCACACCAAGATCCTTTGCTGCCTGGGCATTGAACTTGCCACGTCGATCGTGACACTTCATAATGTAGCTCATGGAGGTCTCGGAGTACGACGTTGGCGGCAGTGCGCCATTTGAGACAGTGTTGATGCCAATCAGGTCGCCCTTGGGGTGCACGCTATTGGCATCAGGAAACACCCAGGCCTTGGCTGAACCGCTAAACGACTTTGGCGCATCGACGCCAAACGGGCCATTGTAGCGCCGCATGCGGTTCCCCTCTACAACTATTGCGTCGTCGTCGGGTTTTAGCTCGTCGATGCTCTTGGAGATTAGCATAGCATTATCATGGGCGCCGGTAAACATGATTTTCTCCAAAATCCACTGTGCTACGGAGGGGTCTGACGGCTCCGAAGCTGGTTTGCATGAGCCGCTGCTCGCACTGTCGCTGCGCGGCCGCTTTGTTGGGCTGCTCGAGCGCGCCCTCCGCACCGGAATTTTCCACACACGAATCGACTCATCTTCCCAATCCGGGGCCGTCAGCGTCGAATCCGCGGCGCGCGGGTCCTCTCTAAATTCAATTACGCGCACGTCAATGTTCTGACGGAAGATGGTCGGCCGCGCCGAGGCGAGAATATGAGACAAGTTGTCCGCGCCGTGGACTGTCACGCCCTCGTTCCGCAGCTGGCGTAATAATTTTTGACCCTTTTCAGCACGCTCCGAGTTCATCGTGGCACGAGCCTCTTTGGCGGAATCGATAGCACCGCCGACGCTCAAAAGATAGCCGATCAGGCCGCCCATTTGCGACCAGCGAACAGGACCAGAAAGGAAAACGTGCTCCGTGCCGCCGAGGTGCAGTTTGCGACATGAAAAAGCGCGCTGCGTGCCCTCGGGCACCTGGCCAAATACGTAGGAGCGTTTCTCGTGGTGCACGTATATGCATGTCCCTGGTGTGTCGGAAGTTGGCACCAAGGCCAGCTCGACCTTCGTGGTCATGATTGTGGGATCCTTTTGGGTTTTCCGGTGTGATGGTCTGTCCCCCAGGGTTGAGTCTAGACGGGCAGATCTTGGAAAGAATGTCGGAAAGCGTGCAGTATATGAGTTCGGTCGTCGGGACGCGGTAGCTGCCGTGCGGCGAGCGAAAAATCTAGTCAAAATGTCGTGAGGACAACGGGATCTGAAGTGAAGAGCCAGGAGAGGAGATTTGCGTTGTAGGATGCCGCATGGTTCCATGAGAGAGGCGAAAGAGCAAAGTACGATGCGTTAAAAGGAGAGTATGAGGAGCGGCATGACAGGCATCGGAATTGCGGGTATGCGTCACAGCAGACGTGAGTGAGAAGGAGATGTGAAGATACAGTCATCGGCGAGGCTGGAAAAAAAAAGTTGGCTTGCCTGACAGCCTCGACGTCTTTGGTGGGGCTTGGTGTCTCGCTGTTGGTGATGGCCTAGAGGTTACCTAATTATTCTGTTCTTAACCACGACAGAGGGTAGCGCTAAGGAAGTCGTCTTTCTTGTACGAGACTAGGCTTCTCTAAATATTTATTCGACGAAAGATTCTAGTGAGAATTTCATTACCGTAACATAGGTGTGCCACCACTGGTTTGGTCCCTTGACTCTATGCTTGAATCAGGAGTCAATGGCGCGTTAGAAGTGTGACTCACGAAAAAGGGATGCCCTAATAAATCTGCCAGAGGAGTCCGTCCGTCCGGGTTCGTGACAATCATTTCTTTTAACAAGTCAATAAATGCTTGCTTCCTCCCATCAAGCGGCGAGCTAGAATCAGCTTCCTGATTTCTCCAGGCCTCATCCCGGCTGCAAAAGTCCCCGTTGTTTGTTCCTGGCAAAATTTTAGTGCCATGTTCTAATACTCATAGTAGCCAGGGAACGAAAATACAACATACCGTTACCATGCCCGCTTCTAGTGTTCCAAATGCCGGGCCAGGCATCGGGTGGAGGCCCGCCAAGTTGAACCGTTCGGAGGATAAAATCGTTATGTGACCCCCAAGTAGAAATGAGTTCGTAGCTAGTCTTGTAATAGATCTGGTATATCTGCATTGGCGTCATTAGCATCACAATCATAAGAGGTACCAGCTGCCGCGTACTGTGCACCCAACGGCCCATATATCCGCTGATTTACTCCAGACAGACCCAGCTCTGCCCTCGGAGTCGTCGTAAACTACAACCTCGGGGGGGCGAATCAATTTCGGCGCTGCCCCTGGCAAAGTTGTGAGCTTCTCACTCGTCCTATGTGCTATCCGGATTGAATCGTGGGGTTAGTGAATTTTACGGACAGAAGGTTTTTTGTATCCGCATACCTCTCCCAAAATCCAAAATTTTGATACACATTGTCGGCTCTGCTGGGAAAGACTTCATCATGTGTAAAAACTCTGCCATCGATACGCACGGGGTAACATAGGGTGGCAGAGAGCGCATTGAGGTTGATGTGTCGCGTGGCACTACAGGAATGATTTCAGGGCTGGCGAAGTATTCCATGATGTCGTCTTGGCTGAACTGCTCCAACTGGGGGAGGGCGACCCCGAAGTTGGCGAGATGTGGATCTGCAAACCATCAGCTTCTTGGCCATAACCGGGATGTGCTGTTGAATTACCTCCATGCACTATGCCTTGCTCATGAAGGAAAGAAAATCCTTCTAATACTTGGTATATGGCTTCTGATGAGCAGTGGCTCAAGACATCTGGATCGCTCAATGGAGCTATGACTTCGGTTACTAAACACTCGTGGAACCCATTCGGCCCCTTGATAGTAAACACGTCAAGGAGTTGGATAATTCTTTCAAAACCGGGTTTTCCTTGCCCAACATTACGAAGCTCGGACAAAAGAGCTGCTTCATTGCCAAGTCCCGGAGCGTCTGTGCCGAGGCAAATCTTGAGCGAGACATATCGTCTAGAAACGTGGTCAATTCATCGGTTCGCCTAGGTATTCATACATTCATACTTGTCAGTTAGGTCCCGAGCGAGCCAAACTGTGGCAAAAGCTCCGAATCCGAGCTTCAGGAGAATGCGGTAGCGCGGCACTCTGTCCTGATTCCCTACACTGGTGCCTGGCCTCGGAAGGACATCGCCAAGAAGGACCGGATGAAACCCGTTGTGTTTATATTTTGTCAGGTCTTCAACGACCTTCTCATCCCCGGTGAACAAAAACAAATCGTGCTGGTCTGGCATACGATGAGGATCGTCCATACCAGAAAAACGCGACCTAATCGCAGTGTAAATTTTGCTGGAATGGTTGAGAGAGGTAGAGAAGCTTGGCTGGTCGCGATGATTGTGTGACAAACACGGGGGTTGGCGGACTCTGAGAAATGCACTCCCACTCAAGGGCACTGGCAACTGGCGAGTGTGTTTAGAAAAGTGGGGGGTTCAGACTGGAACATGATACCTGCTTACAGGAGTGATATCTATAGCCTTACCTACCTACTTGCTACCTACCAACCTACCTATAGGTACACCAACTTTTTGTTGGGTGCTGTAGGTCCCTTGGTACCCGAGAGAAGTTCAAGGGGCTGATAGCGAGCGAGCCTACGTACTGTTGCGTGTGACCCGTGGCTCGACCACGTTTACATCTTCATAAATCCATCTTCCCTGACACGTATGCTGTAATATCAGGGGGTATAGGCGCTAGAAAATCTGCGGCGCGCCCATTTCTTGAGCCTATAACTCAACAATATAGCAAGGATTAAGGTATGTACAGTGGTGGGTATAGGCGAGTAGGTAGCCTGGTTTTCGCGCCAACTGGCTGCATACCAAATTACGGGCGCTAAGCAATCGGCCAACCAGACCAAGCGAGTTTGTCGCTCGGCAGCATTACAGATGGAACACCATCCCTGAAACGTAATACTGTCTACTATAGGAAGAGTAGGCAGAAAGTGATAGGATGTCATTGACGAGTTCGTTCAAGTAGGCGCTACTAGAACAAAGCTCGGCCAATCGTGCTGACAGTTCCACTACCATTGACAGACAACCAAGTTAGAATCAGCCCATCCTCTATGATTAGAATAGAAATGGGATTTGACGTTTCTTTGGAGGCTTAGATGATATATACCAAAGCTCTGAGACTATTACTAGACATTTAAGTATGAGCAGCCTCCCGTGCTCTTGCAACCTACTGCCATCTTTCGCATGTACGCTATATTACAACCGCGCGAAAATCTGATCTCTAATCACCAAGATTAGGCCCTGAAAAATTAAAGGATTTCTACTGTATCTTCAGTAAGTGGCTACAGTCTGAGCTATTTAGGGGTTCTGGCTAAATCAGGAGTTTTTGCTCATCTAGTTTCCACACTATGGACAAGCGTGGATATGTCTCTACTGTTGCAGCGGACGGAAGACCGCTGATCATCTATTACATCCACGAGGACAAAAAGAGAGTTAACGCTATTCGGTCAGAAGTTCGAGTTCTTCAAGAATTCGCAGCAGCTTGGACCAAGGGAGAATTAGTAAGGAAACGGCTTCCTCGCATCAATTGCGGCTGCTACTTACCTTTGCGACACAGGATGTAAATGGTAAACCACCATTTCAAGATGCGCAGACCTGTGATCGGATAGTTGTAACGTGGGCCAACCTAACTTTTCCCCTCCACATGCAAGCTTTGACATTCTAACACGCTTCAGCGGGGGCGACCACGTTTCCACCAATACACCTCAAGAAGCGAGGCATCTCACAATCTCTCCTGCTAGCGAAGCCTCATGGGCGGCGGGATGGGCAAGGTCAGGCATTCATGTCTATTCCATTGACAATCAACTGGCTATGGGCTACCGCGGATGGCGAAGAGCTTCTAACTCCAGAAACCGTTTCCAAGGGGGGATGATAAAACAGCATCTGCAGGAAGCCATGAGCAACGCTCTTGTCATCACTGAGGAAGCCGGAGAGCAGGAGAAGCCTTAGTTGGTTACTTTATAGATGGAACTCCATACTACTGGTCTGAGAGGCAGTAAATGCTCTCCTACTATGGCGCAAATGGCCAGCGGCACTCTGCCACAGGCATTGGAAAAACCTGACAAACAAGGAAGAGGCTTTTCTTTATGTTTCGAGATCGCAACAATAGCTTGCCATCTTTTATGACAAGTTAATGGTCTGCGTTGGATGTATTGAAAGCTAGAATCTGATTGGCAAGCTCATTTGTTAGAATTTTGTCTCTGATCCGTGCGAACACATGTGTTGCCTCCTCAATGCTAGCGACATGCGCCTTGAGTGCTGCTGGAGCGTTACGACGTCCTCAGCAGAGGCAGGCAGCGTAAAGAGGGATGGGCGCCGGCGCAAGTCGCCACGAGGGGCCCAACCCATCCTGGCCCCAGCTTTTGCGCATGAGCATCTCGGCGCCCTCTTCTTGCTGCCTAGATGGCAATGCCCGGGGCCCAATGCTGAAGGAAGAATCCCACTTGGCGCCTCCGTCGCGTCACGGTGAGGTCGGCCGGCGTGCCCGTTCCGAGGCGCCTGAAGACGGCAGCACCGGCGGCGATGGGAAATGTAGACCTTGGAGGCGTGGACTACGACGGGCAGGAAGCACGTCACCTGCACTGCTCCCTAAACCGACGACGACGACCTTCTTGCCCTTGAAGAATGACGGACTGCGTACGAAGATTAGTATTCGGGATCTTAGCCTTGCCGCCTTGTAGCACTTTACTTGCGAAATTGCTGGGTGTGCATGAGCACGCCGTCAAATTTCTTGCTGCCCTCGAAATCGGGCATCTTTGCCTTTGTCTGGTAGCCGTGAGCAGAAACGACCTTGTCGAGTTCTTGGATTCTGTTTTGTCCTGCAATTTCAAGCTCGACACACCATTGTGCGTCAACCTTGTCTCTTGTCACAGTCTGTACCTTGCATTGAAGACGATGTGCTTACCCAGGTCAAAATGCACTGCATAGGTCTCGAGATACTCGTGGAAGTCGGACTGGGTCAAATACTGCGGCTTTTTTGCCAATACAATTGGCGTTAGCCGTCTTCATCAAAGGTCTGCGCGCTCTCGCGGCAACTCACTCTCTGGCGTAGGAAATCGCTAAAGCTACAGGTGTATTTGCTAATGCTGGCACAGGTTGCTGTCGAACAGCGTGTCAATTTTCCGGATGCATACAAATTTCATCCCATTACCACCCATGAACTAACTTGTCAAAGCCGTGGTTTGCTGAACATGCTCGGTGTATGCCCACAAACCTCCAACACTGCTCTTGCGCTCGAAGAGAGTCACATTGAAGCCATCTTCGATCAGTGTTTTTAACATGGAAATACCAGATGGTCCTAGGCAATAGAACTTCATCAGCCATTGTTTCCAGCCCAAGCTATCGCACTACCTTCCCGCGCCAAAAATTGCGACCGTACTGCGTTCACTCATGAGCAGCGGTAGTCAATGGTGCATTACTAGATATATGCCCTAGACATTGGTATCCAGAACCTTTCAGAACCGCGTGTCGAACCTGGAGCAAATCCAGGAATGAGGCCTTCTGGCCCACCGCCAACGTTGTTGACGAGAACCTCCAGTTGTCCAGACTCTTGCCGCGCCCGTTTTGCCAATTCGTGCACTTGCTCCTCCATCGTCACACCGGCTACAACTTCCAGGACGCGGGAATTTGCGTTCAAAGCCTGAAATGCTTTTTTTTCTACTCGGTCGAGATCAGAGCTCGTACCGGAATTGATAATCACCTTTCCCGATCCAGCCTGGACAAAGCTCTTGACATTTTCAGCGCCGATGCCATGGCCAGCTCCTAAGCACAGAACGGTAGAGTTCGATGGTAGCGTTACTTTGGTCGAGTCTATAGAGTTGCTTATATCCGTATGCATGATCTTGGATACTCGAGTCCTATGACGGCCCAGGGAATGTGACAACCCGTCTGGAAACTCCATTGACATGACCATGCTAAAGAAATAGCTTTTTTCCTTGATAACTTAGGTTCTGTATTTTGTTCTATGTCAATCTTTTATAGAGCCTTGTCTAGACTTTACACTTGATGCGGATATTGGGGGTTGTTTGAAGTACTCTTATGAGCCTTGGAAAGTAGATGTTCGCGGGATTAGTAATGGCGATGAAGAGAGCAGACAGGTTAAAGGCAAAAGGAGAATTATCCTTATTACGAAAATTAGAGCGTAAACTACATGAACTAGAATGAAACAAATGAAGATGACTCCTTTACGTCGGCAATCCATAATAGGGCCAAGTAATGCATTGCATAGTGCTAGAGCTGCCACTTTACGACCGCGACGTACCAACTCCAGAGACTCCAAAATACTAGATTTTGAACTATCAGTAGCTAAATCTCATTTCCTTTGTAGAACAGAATACATGAATGCAATTCCGCACTCGCTCCGGCCAGCTTCTATAAGACGCATACTCATACGCGATCGCTAGCTTCACTGCGCCGCTTCATCTTGGATGCACATTCTGGGATGCCGACACCATAAGTCCGGAGCTGAAAAAAATCCCATTCGGCCTCGACGTCACGGTAGCGCTGAGGAGTAGTCTTGGGTTTGTGAAGGAGGCCGCGAACAAGTGTTCCGCTGGGGAGCGACGATATGCCGCCAAGGAGCATAAAGGCGGGTGAAGCAGGAGATAGTTTGGCGGGAGGCATTGTGGTATGCTTCGCGCCCTGTGGTGTGTTGTATAATGGAGAGGTTTCAAGCGCTTGTTGTGCCTATGGCAAGCGCAGCACAGTAAGATGGTTGGGTCTGTGATAGTCAATGTAAAATACAGTATTTAAAACAAACATAATGTTTCTCTACATTTATCAGTCGAACAGGTGCCTTTATAGTTGTAAGCTTACATGGTCAGACCCCGAGGATTTGGGCAAGCCTAAACAGTGCCACCCATCCATCCGGGCCATCTTAGTGATGTTCCCCGCATTCATAACGGCAGATCTCCTGCTCCATGCATATGTTGACCAATCATATCACCAGACAACACACCAGAGTGAGATGGATGACATGTGCAGAGAATAAGCCAGTGTCGATTAAGCTGTTCGTGCCATGTCATGAAGCCCGGGCCGTCAGGGTTGTAGTACGTCAGTCTGTTAGTTTAAGGATGCCTTCGAGATAAGACTGACTGTTTACTCGACTCTGATATTCCTTCTCTCCATCCCGGCTCGTCGTCTGCATAATCCCGCACGCCAGGCATCGCTGATGTTTTTTAGTAGCGTCTTCAACCGGTTGGGATTGGGAATTTCGAATTAGCGCAGTTCAGATCACTCTAAGCATTAGCCTTGCCCAGCCAAACCCGGTCGCGTGGTTTCAGTTATTCCTCTTTTCGCTTGACTCTTTTTTTTTTTTGCACTACAAGTCCCAACATCTCGCTGGCGCCATGAGTGACATTTCTTGGCGGGACCGGGCCGCGGTCAAAGTGGCTGATACCGCTTCCAAAATCCCTCCTCCTTGGCGCCTAAAACCACAAGATCTCCAGCGAGCAAAAGAGCAAAAGAACCTTACAGGCCCTTTCATTGAGTCCTTTCTTTCCCAGAATGAAGTGGAAATCACTTCTTTGGCTAGCTGTGATTTAGTTGAGAAGCTAGCCAACCGAACTTTGAGCAGTCTAGAGGTTTCAGAGGCTTACTGCAAGACGGCCGCCATCGCTCACCAGATCAGCAACTGTCTCCATGAAATATTCTTTGACCAGGCTCTTCAGCGTGCTGCAGAGCTAGATCGATATTTTGAAGAGAATGGGAAGCCAACTGGATCACTGCATGGTCTACCCGTCAGCCTCAAGGACCAGTTCCATGTAAAGGGTGTCGACACGACCATGGGCTACATTGGCTGGATCGATACGTTTGAAGGGGACACGGATCCTAAACGAGTCCACAAAGTCGAGAGCCAGGCTGTCAGCGAGTTGCTGCGACAAGGAGCCGTTGTTTACTGCAAGACAAGCCTGCCGCAGACCCTAATGTGTGGGGAGACTATTAACAATTTGATCGGCCAGACTTTGAACCCGATCAACCAGAGACTTTCATGTGGTGGCTCATCTGGAGGCGAAGGTGCGCTGCAAGCCCTGAGAGGAAGTTCGGTAGGCCTAGGAACCGATATTGGTGGTTCTGTGCGAATCCCGGCGGCATTCTGCGGCTTATATTCACTCAAGCCAACCCACAATCGCATATCGTACCGAAATGTCGCAAACACGAATCCTGGCCAATTAAACTATGCCTCCTCTGTTGGGGTCATGGGTACCTCGGTTGACTCATTAAAGTTGGTGCTGTCCGCGTTGACCTCCACAAAGCCATGGCTACGCGACCCCAATGTTGTTCCGATACCCTGGAGGTCAGATATCGAGAAGAGCACCCTAGAACGAGTCGACAGCTTGGGTATGGCTATTGATAGGCCAGCCCTGAAGCTTGGAATTCTTTTCAATGACGGTTTTATGACGCCGCATCCACCGATTGCTAGGGGTCTTCGCATGCTCCGCGATGCTCTCATAAAGGCTGGCCACACCATTGTGGATTGGCATCCACCTCATCATCAGCCGGCAGCTCACATTCATTTGCTGTTTCTTCAATCAGATGGGGGCCATTATATTCACAAACAGCTGGATCTTTCTGGCGAGCCACTCATCCCTCCTCTTCGCGACATCTTCAAGCTCAGGCCACCTGTGTCTGCCACCACCCTCGAAGACCTCAGCGTCCAGGGTCAAAATGCCTGCGAGGCATACTCGGACTATTGGAACAGCAAAAGCGCCAACGATGCCCAAGAAGTCGACGGCTTCATCATGCCTGTAGCCCCGCACGCAGCAGTCATCCCCGGACGCTATCTGTACACGGGATATACAGAGGTCATCAACCTCTTGGACTATACTGCTGCGGTGATTCCTGTCACGACAGCAGACAAGTCAATCGATCTGATCGATCCAGGTCTTGTGCCTCTTAACGAATTGGATGCAAAGAATTGGGCAGGCTATGACCCAGAGGCATACGATGGCGCGCCAGTTGGACTGCAAATTGTGGGCAGAAAGTATGAGGAGGAGAAAGTATGGGCTATAGCGAAGATTCTGGATACTATCCTCAAGAACTACAAGGACACTGGCAGGAATGAGAGCACCACCGTGTAATTGGAGAGCACAGACAGGCTCCCTCTTGGAATGGAGCATATCACGGGCGAACCATGTGTTGTGGGCAACACGATCTAGAAATCTGCGTGGATAACGATGGCTTCTGCCTGCAAGTCAGGCAGAAATATCTGGAGATCGTACATCACACACGTCACAGCCTACCACGGCAGGTGGCCCATAATAGCTACCTCTAGTTAGAGATGCACTGCGCCAGCTTTTCCTTGTTTTTCGCTGCACTTCCTGTACCGCCGGCGCTGTTTCCGCCGGCACTACTTAGCTAGAGCTGCTCAGCCTCGGCGAGAATGTCCTTGATAGTCGACATGATGCTGCTGACGACTTCACTAAGGCCCGCGCGAGACAGCGACTCGTTAATCTTGGCGGCCTGGTGGGCGGGGTCGGACTACTCAAGGCCCTAGCTGACGAGGCGGTCCTTTTAGATGCGCAGCTTGCGGTGTAGCCCGGCGACGTCGGGGTCCTGCTGCTTCTCTCGGGGTACGAGGGCCTGTACGAAATCGCTTGACTTTTTGGTGTCGTTATAGAGACGTGAGAGGCGCCGCTGAAAGGGCAGCTGAAAGCCGCCCGCGGGGAGTAGCGTCTCCATGTTAGACAGTGTCGGGAAAGTATATATCGTATGTGATGTGTTTTGGTCAAGAAGAGGTTATATACTTGCAAGGGTGGAGATGACAATTATTTGTTGATTACTCTCTATGAGATATGTTATATAGAAACGATTAATAAAGGAAGACGCGTAACTGATAAAGTATTTTGTTGAATCTGCGTGTATATGGGTCTCATGAACTCGGAGCTCCTTTACCACTGCCAAAGGGATACACTTCTTCGTTGTGCGATTATCTTATTCACGCATATTCTACTGAATAAAGCAGCAGCTACATACAGTGGGTCTAAGATAATTGAGCAAATCACCACCAATTTCCCATATGACGCTGCTTGGAATTTCCTGGAGACAACTGTAGGAGCAGTAGCTCCACCAGGGAGGTAGACATGGCGGGATAGAAGACCACTTACACTTGGCTACGGCCAATAGCCATCCAGCTGTGGAACTATACAAGACTGAGTAAATGTCATTCTAGTTTCAACTATTCTTCAACTATACTTCAAGTTAGAAATCCCGCCGAGCGATTGACCCAAAAGTTCATGTCTGTCAGCCGTGACTACAAACTACCATGTTACGCACATCAGAAATCAAAAACAGCAAGAACAGTGTGTAGGTACTCCGACCTCACGGTGTCTGGTCATTGCAAACCTAGTGTACCTCTGGGAGCAGCTTAGAAAGCTCGGTCAGGCTCAGTTGAGCTTCGGTTAGAGCAGCGGCGGCTTGGAATCCTATTCAGGAAGGGAAAAAGTAGGGCAGCAAAGTTTTCATGTTTTTGTGTTTTTGTTCAATCTGTCCTCCAGATCTAGAGGAAGTTATGAAGAAAAATAACAATAGTAATTAAATGTTGGTCTTGGTAACTCGTACTAAAGCTCAAACCAACGTCTAATGATAAGTGCATAAATGCTAGTCCTTGTACTTTGATGCAGCGATTCTAGAGCATTTATATAATGTCGAAAGAACTTTGTCTAACAACTATAGCAGCTAGAGGGAGTTCGTGGCTCAGACGAGAAGCTGCTTCTTTTTACCTGAAACTCAATTCCATGGCTCGATTATGCAAGCGATTCATGGAGCATGTACTTGTCTTACGAAAACCTCACTATATAACTTATGATACTTGAAACGTTAGTTTTCATGTCATGTGTCCTTTATACGTTACCCTGCGCTACTCGTTGATATTACTAACCCACCTGTAAACGCCACAGTCTGACTCGGAAAGCAGTTTCCTATAGAATATGATTTTGGAAAGTCGTTATACGCATCACTTAGCTTGCGGTCGTATCTAGCAATTGCACCATTATAAATTATTCACCCGCTCACTGTTGTGTGTCCATGTATATCCTACCTTGTATTTGGCAATCTACGATTCTATAATCTCGTTTGCTTCCTACTCATCTACCTCCAACTGAATCATTAAATTGCATCCTACCTGCGAATAAAGAAGAAGCATGAGGTACAGCCTGATCGCCCTTCTTTGCTTAACAGGCCTTGCATCAGCAATACCTGTCGAGGTCCAACAGGAGGTTCCTGAGACGCCATGTGAGTTGGAGGTTCCTGAGCCGCCATGTGAGCTGGAGGTTCCTGAGCCGCCATGTGAGCCGGAGGTTCCTGAGCCGCCATGTGAGCTGGAGCCTCCCGCGCCTCCCCCGGCGCCATCCGCCGAGCTGGAGCCTCCCAATTGTGACGCAGGCAAGGTCCTCCTCGATGACGAATGCGTTATCAAGACTGTGGCGCAGGCAAAAAATTCGTCGACGGCGAATGCGTTGATAAATTTTGTCCCGCAGGCCAGGTCCGTGTCGAAGGCGAATGCGTTGAGGAATGTTGCCCCGAAGGCCAGGTCCGTCTCGACGGCGATTGCGTAGCGGAAGATTGGGAGAAACTAATCACACCGAGAGAAGAGTATTAGAGTGATAGGGAATTAGTCCCAGAATCTTTTGGGTAGACATGCGAGGAATAGGCAGAACCAGAGATGGGTAGCAACTCAAGTTGACAGTTAAGAACCCGGGCGCATTTCTATGTATGTTCAATACTTAACTTTACATACAGAATAAAGTCTTCTTTCGTGCTTCCTCGTGCCATGCATCAAAGTAAAATGGTTCGCAAATGTTTTCCAGCTATTTGAAAGGCGCCATTCCCCTGATAGTGCTCAATCGACAGCTAGGCTGGCCCGATTCGCTCCCTGCTTTCAATGGCCGTCTCCTGCCAGCGGCTAGTAGGACATTAACTGTATCAGGGGCTCTAACTGCTTCTGGGCGGCTTCAAATTTCCATCCGTGCAACACACTCTGATGCGCTATATTCATGGTCGCTTGTTTGTGGTCCTGGAAGCACGCAATGCGCGGTTATCCCGTTCGCAACAACCGCTTATCTACTATTTACTATTTCCCCCACTAAAAGCCGGAAATATATAGGGCGGGGTACCTGAGCGGCGGATGACGGAACGGGGGCCTTATTAGGATCATCTTAGCGCTTTATAAGTTCTTAATAATGTCACTCTTCTCAGATCTCTTACAAAAGTTTGAAATTTCCCACACACTCTCTTGAGATCTATCCCAACACTCTCTATATAGAGATTTCTTCATGCAGCGTGCACGTCTGTTTTCTCAACCGACGACATTCCGCCACTGCCGCTTCACAAACCGCAGTCATCATCCTCCTCATCCTCGCCGGCTCTTCTCCGTCACCATGGCTGACAGCATCAACAGAAACCCACACCCGGACTTTAAAACCGTCGAGGCGTCGCGTCCGGAATGGGAAGCGGACCAGGGCTTCCACTACACCAAAACGGCCGATCCGCAGTGGACGTTTGGCCAGGGCCGCAACAGCCTGCGCGACGCCGGCGCCTCGCAGCCGCACGTCGCCATTGACCCGCACGCCGAGGGTCGGCCGGCCACGTTCAACTACAAGCTCCTCATCTCGGCCATAACTCCGCGTCCGATTGCCTTTGTAAGCACGCGCAGCGCCGACGGCGCCGCCACCAACCTCGCGCCCTTTAGCTACTTTAACTTTGTCGCCCACGACCCGCCCATCTTTGTCATTGGCTTCTCGTCGTCCGTCGCCAACGCAAAGGACACGCTCAAGAACCTGCTCGACACCAAGGAGTGCGTCATCAACATCATTTCCGAGACGTACGTCGAGGCTGCCAACTCAACCTCCATCGACGCGCCCTTTGGCGCGAGCGAGTGGAACGTCAGCGGCCTGACGCCCGACTACTCGTGCGAGACGGTCAGGTGCGCCCGTGTCAAGGAGGCCGTCTTCAGCATCGAGGCCAAGCTCGACTCGTATCGCGAGTGGGATAGTCGCGCCAAGCCCGGCAGCAAGTCCGGTACCACCGTCTTTCTCGAAGGAACGAGGTTTTGGGTGCGCGAGGACGCGCTCAATGATGACAAGAACCTTGTGGACCCGGCTGTGAGTGAAGATATGGGGAAGCCTTGGGTGGGTTTGCTTCAATTTGCTGACAAGACTTAGATTCTGCGGCCCATTAGCCGTCTCGGTGGCATCACCTACGCTCGTACCACGCAGGCTCTGGAGATCCCTCGTCCAAAGTTCAAGGAGGAGCTTGGAGGCCAGGAGGGCTATGAGAAGCTAGCTGAGCGTAAATCTTGACGTTGAAGGATGAATAACAGCCAATATTGCTGTCTAAAACTCATTGCCCTAGTTTCCTTTCTAAGAAAGGAACCTAAGCAGCGCTATTCTAACCTAAGCCTCACTAAGCCACTAGCTAAGATCTATCCTAAGCTATTACCTAAGCCTCCCTAACTAAACCTAAGTAACTTACCTAAGCTACTCTAATTTCTCCTAAGCTAGCTTTAAAGGTAGATAAAGGTATATTTTTCTAAAAACTATATCTTAG